AGTGGACAAAGAAAACCACCTTGTGTATAGACTACAAGCAGTCCCGCCTTTTTGGCTAAGTCCGTTATGCGAATAACAAAAATCAGCAAAAAAAAGATTGACGTTTGCGCGCTGTGGCAGTTCTAATTTTAACTTCATTATGCGGCTGGAGCTCCATGAGTAAAGTGCTCAAAAAGTAGTGGTCGGCATATCAAAGTCAAAATTAGAGCTCCTTCGGCGCGCTAACGTCAATTTTTTTTTCTCTGTTTTTTTTATTTTTTTTATTTGCACAACAGGTAGTCGTGAATGGAAAAATTTCCTCTGATGTAGCAGTAGAACAAGTTACTCCTCACGACTGAAGATTATCTGTAACGGTCGAATCGGCCTCGTCTCTGTTTAAGCAAGATGAACCTCTTAATGCAGTGATATATCTTGAACAGAATACAGTGATAAGAATTTGACGTGGAAGTCTTTTTCTTTTTTCTTTTTTGGTTGTGTGTAACGCGTTTCTTCAAGGTCAGAGGCAAGCTTGACGCCAACAGTCTTGCTGTCATGGATTACCAAATGAAGGTATAGGGGTAATTTCGGTATCCAAAAAGTAGGTTAAGATTTATTTTTCGGTTTTGGTAATTTAAATAGTGAACGTGCACAAATAACCGATGAATTTCCAGAACAAATGTGAAAACATTTCTAATAAGTAGTGCCACATTCTCATTCTCAACAACATAAATGGTTATTGTCATCAGAAAAAATTTAAATTTCTATTATCTCGATATACAGTATTGTTAAGGAACTAGAGCACGTGTTTTCTAGACGATGAGGGCAGGCGGAAGTTTCGAGTTCTTTTCTCTAACACTTGTGAAAGAGCTTAACCTGCACTGTTTAGTTTAAAATGCTATAGCCATGGCTTTCTAGTTTTAACGTTGATATCGAAGCACGTCAAAAGTGTTCGAATTCTCCTTTCAGTCGTTCTTCGTGTCAGTAAAAAGATCTATGCTGAAGTTCCATCACTTGTAAGGATAGCATGGAAAGTTCTGTAAAGAATCAATTAAAGAAAAGAATAAAGGTTTGTTTTTGTAAAATACGTTGAGAGAATATCATTAGCATTAAGACATGTTGCGGATAGCTTTATTGTGTGTTTTTTGTGGGATTTGCAGGAGTTGGATCGTTACAGAACAGCAATGAGAAAGATAGCAGCTGATCTCCTGCATGTGCGAGAGGATTGCAAACGTCTAGAGGTGATTAGTTGTTGAGTATTAGGAACCGTCTTGTTTTAGTAAGTAAGTTTAGTATAGTAAGATGAGTTGATAATTTCAACTCGTTGTTTGCACAAGTCCAGCCCAGCAAAAACGTTGTTTTCATTTCAACCACTTATTTATTCTAGAAGGCTTGTGTGCCTCTAGGTTGCGATAAATTTTAAAATTATTAAGGGACGATCAGGTTAAAAGAGAAAGTCCCCGAATGAAGGCCTTCATTTATTCTTAAGGTGATATTTCTCGAGCGTTTTTTTAGATCACTTTTGAGGTTGGGAATTCTAATCGCGTATGGCGAGTTTTGCCTGTGCGCACAACCTATGGGACGGGTAAATCAAGAAGCCTAGCTTGAATAAGCTGCACTGTGCAGCGGCCTTAAGTTTGTTTTTAGTTGTAATTGATTCTTTCAGGAAGCCAACAGTAAGCTGAGAGAGTTGGGCCAACATGCCGAGATATCCAGGTTAATGGTCAGCTCCAAAGACTTAGATGATGTGACACATTCTTAGCTGGTACAGAAGTTTGATAAGAGTTACTGTACCCTTGTTCTCGGCCTCTATGAAACACAACGTCGCCGTTGCCTAAAACAGTTACTGTTAAAGTTTTCTTACAATTGGGTGAAAGTCCTATTGAATTAAAAGCAGCTTACACCAAAATAACAGTCTTGAAACTTTTTGTGTTTTACTTGTTGGGCAAAATACATTCCTCTTCTTTCCTTGTAGCCCGTGTCCTTGCACTTGTTCTTGTTCACATGTTAAACCCTGATTTTTATCACAGATCAATGCTGTCATTTTTTGTTTGCATAGAGCAGTCGTGAAAATCAAGACTTCAACACCTTCAGAATGATCTTATCAAGGTGGCTTTATATTGTCTCTGACTTACTCATGAGATCCGATAGGTGATTTTCATGCAGGCCTTCTAACTGCTACCTCCTTCCTTATCGCCAGCTTGTTCGTTAACGTTTTGAAATTATTAGCAATGACATGTCTAATACTTCTGTACACAAAAGGCTACGTTTGAAAGGTTGACGAAGTTATATATTTACAGAAAAATGAGATGGAGAAGGATTTTTTGAAACTACAAAAAGCTCACGAAGGGCAACAGGCACTTCTGCAAAAGTTGCAGGTGAGTGAGATGTGCTATAACAAATAGATGTATAATTTTGTTAGTTCTTGTCGCATTTGAAAAAGAAGTGCTGGTAATCTGTGAACGTAAATTAATTCATCTTACCGTAACATAGCTCCGCGTAATGGTGTCAACCCTAAATAACGTGCACTTCAAAGAATGCGGTGTTCATTCATAGTCTAGAATCGCCATCGTGATAACTTGCCGTACTTTTCTTGATGATATAGTTTCCAAGACCTGAAAAAAGGATGGTAAAGACATATTAAAGAAAAAGTGCTAAAATATTGCTTGTAAACTTTGTAGTGTGGTGGAATTTCTCCTATTACCCTGGTCAAAAAGTTCTTTCGGTGCAATTGTAGAGTCCAATTTTCTTTTAAACTCCCACAACCACTCCACTGCTTCACTCATTATTCTGGTATTTGATTGTACTTGTGTCACCGTCTTTTGCTCACACATGTACAAACTCTATGTTTGGGTTGAAAAAACTGATCTCGAGTGTCTTCGCTGGCAGGGAAAGGTACAAAAGGCACAGACGATTCAAGATACCTGCAAGAAACAAGAAAAGGTGAAAAACCATCGAGCGAGTTTGTGAGACTGAGTTGTGAACCTTCCAGACAAAAGGCGACACTTAATGTTTAAATACACATCCCTTGTAGGTTATTGTATAACTCGAGCAGCTTTTGGCCCAAAAGGGGAAGGGACCATACAATGGAGGTGAATTACCTTTGAAACGCACCTGTATATCAAGATGAATTACATTTTTTATCAGTTTATAATAAAGAAACTTGTACGAGAACGATTATAGAAAATACTTGTGTTACAAGGGCGAGTCCAAAGAGCCAAAGTTATTAGTTTTCAGAGAAACTATTCCGTTGCAACGAAAGGAGTCTCGGTTTCAACTATGCACACAGAATGATTGTCTTGGGTTGGTTTCATAAAGCGAAACTAAATTGATAGCCGTTGGAGCAGAAGATCACATGCGCTTGGTATCTCATCCACCCCTACCACACCCTTATACCCAACATGATGTTACTCATAAGGCGTAAGGCAAATCATAACTCGTCTTTATTCGACGACCAAGCTCAAAATTTACCATCTTTCTGCATATATTTACCAACTATTATCCCCTACTAGTCTCTACAGAAACTGGCGAATCTTACAGAAAACTCAGTGAAGAGAATATCAGACTACAGGCAGAGGTTCTGCAGTACAAGGTAGTCATAAGTTTTATTATAGTTTTTTTTAGTTTGACCTGTTTTGGGGATGCTGAACACGCGGAAGTGACACTTTTACCTTGAAAACACGCACACATTTGAAGCAGTGGGATAAAAACAAGGCCTGGATAGCGCCAAATAAACCTCTGAATGTGTTGTGATATATCGAAAATGCCCTGTTTAGTTTGAATAACGCTCATTCTTCTAAAAACTACTTTAAGATATCAGTGCTTCTTCCCAACCCTCTCTCTATTAAACGCCCTGTGCGTAATGATCGCTCCCCTTCCTTAGGGAGGCGGTCAGTGGACCTCATAGCCAGAAGCGTTCTCAGCAAGGTATGAAGAGTACACAGTCACCAAAGAAATCAATCGGTTGACACTTCTGGCTCTTGGTCAATTAAATTAAGGGAATGTAAATTGCGGATTTTGTCCCATCTCATGTTCAAGACGAGGATTGTGCATTTTGCATTTCACAGGAGCACATCAAAATGAATCAGGTTATTAAATCCCACTAGGCCCATTGTCAAACTCAATCTATTTCCTGTCAATATATATTACATCCTACTGATCAAATAAACATGGTTTGTGTCCACTGACTTTTTCGGTGGAAAGAAAGCTACTGGATAATTTGTTTTTCTCTCGTAATCAGGAGCAGTTGAAAGCAGCCGAAGCTAAGCTGAAGAAACCAAGGTATGTACACTTAATTTTTCAGTACACATGCACTTTCAGCCATCTTACATCGTTCGGTGATAATCGGCCTCTATCCACTTTTGAGAAATTGTCAGTGTGAGGTTGCCAGTCGGATTGCGGCTTCAGCTAGAGATAACGTTTTGGACCCTACTTCTAATCTTCTGGATTCGCCGACGAAAGCGGCTCTTTCATCCGTTGGGATCGTTAGTTTTTAACCTTATAAGAGTCAAAGTGATTAGAAAGGGAATAAATGCCTGGGAGACTGTCACGAATTTACCATGGGAACTGAACCTTTCATGAAACTACTGACTGCTTGTCTGATTTTGTTTCAGATCACCAGGAGAACAGCGAGTGGTTGGTGCAAGTGTAAGTGCGTCACTCTTGAATCAAAGGCATTTTATTACTAGTTAACTGGTTTCTTTAACAGGGAAGTGTTCATTTAACACAAAGCTTTCAGTGAGTGAGCCACGTTATAGATATGGTTTCCAAATGTTTCGGCTGCCCATTAATTAGTGGGAAAAAACAAGTTCTTTGCGAACGGCATAAAGTTTCAATTGAAAATTTACAGTGGGCCCTTGGCTAAAGACGATTTTTGAGTAAGTCCAAGGTTAATACGTTGTAATTTTGCCTTGAAGATCGAGAAATATTCGTAGCCATATACGTGGGGGCGAAAAAGGCAGATGGATGACGATTTTTGAGAGTAGAAATCTCGATCAGTCCATGGACTTCCCATTTTGTTCACAGGACGGTAATGATTACAGTGGTATAAACACTTTTTAGTAAAGAGGTGTAGGATGAGATCCACTTATTTTTTTCATTCCAAAGGTTTTATTTTCGCCGTTGACAGAGTTCAAATGTTTTTAAAACATGACGAGACTTGCATTGCACAAAAGTCTAATTGAATTGTCTGTTTGCAGAATGGACCAATGTCAGACATGGAACGACTGGAACTTTTTGAAAAACTAGAGAAAGCGGAGGGACGGATTGTTGCTCTTGAAAAACAGGTGAAGCACTCAGCTGCATTGCTTCACTTTTTGGAAATGTGGAGGTTTGCTTTATCTGACATGTCATAAGGTGGTCAAAATTTTATTATTGAATTGCTCATCTTGTCCTTTGCTATCCTCCGCTAAGTCTAATCAGCCATTCGGGTGGGAAGACAAGAAAACTGTCTGATAGAAAAATGAATAAAGGGGGTCAGTTTCTAAAGAAACTGTGGTGCTGCGTCGGTGGGAGAGTATAGCAGGTAATTTAGTGTTAACAACTGAGTTGAAAACGTAAATTGGCCACCGTAAAGATTTAAAAGGCCGCTGACGTTTCGAGCGTTTCTTGTCGCTCTGACGAAGGGCTAATGCTCGAAACGTCAGCCTTTTAACTCTACGGTGGCCAATTTACGTTTTCAACTCAATTGTGAACACTAAATTGTCTGTTAGACAGTCAGTCACGTTGGATGGCTGATTGTCGGGCGGTAGGCCGTTAGACAGACAGACAGACAGGCAGACAGACGAACAGACAGGCAGGCAAGCAGACAGACACTTACACAGAAAATAAATATTTGGTTAAAAAAACTGAAAAAACAACGCAGAGGTGTAATAAACTTAGCTCTAATATAGTTTTCTCGGTTTCCTTGCGTTGTCTCTGTAGTTGGCAGATAACGTCAGAAAATGGGCGAAGGATAAAGCCGACCTACAGGTGCCTTTTTTTATTTTATTTTGGAGTGACAGTGTTGGCACATTTTTTTTTTTCGGTCTAAGAAATCTTTTGGTCCACCATGTCTTAGTTCTCTATATCTATCTACATTTTCAGTTACCTTTCTCTTCTCTTTCCGAGGCGTATATTGTTTTAAAATTACTATGGATAGTATCAGTTTTGCTGATGTTCCTTCCTAAATGAAAAGGAGAAGCCAGTAATGATGTATTGTTTGAGTAGCTTTGTGTTTTATTTACGCAGATGAAACTAAACGAAAGTCAGGTCGCTCAGAGGACAGGATACAAAAATTCGTCCACTTCTGTTGATATTCTGGACTGGGTTTGTATTAGTTTCTTTCTTCTTTTTCTCCAGGTAACGTTTCTAAGACTTCAAAGTAAGTGGTTGCATATATAAGATAAAAACTTGTGTCTGAATGCTACCTCAGTATTGTTGTGAGTGACCGTGATAGTGCTAGTATCTCGAACACTTCACCCTCTTGATCCCAGCTGGGACATGAGAGCCCACTTTCTATCCTATCCTTTGTTCTGTATTAACTAAGTGGCAACACACAGGAAATTTTTTTCCTTGAAGATTGGCTTGTTCTGCTGATCGATAAATAAATTTCTTGTTGTAAAGCAAGAGGCGATTACCTCGTGCATTTTTCTGTCTAGTTAGTCAGGCTGTTTGGGTAAACAAAACGTATAGGAGTGTATGAAAAGAGTTTAGAAAAGCCAGGGCCGAGACCTTGTGATGAGAACATTACCTCTCTATATACTATTAAGTCTTAAACATTTACGTAGAAAACCTCAAGTTATGAAATCCAGACCTTTAGGACCAACTCTAAATCCACGCTAGTGTTTAGAGTTTTTATTATTCCACAGCATAATGGACCAAAGCCAAATTCACCTTCAAGACACTTGGGTCCGCGACGACCGTCACCTAAACTGGATCCTCTGGAGAGAAGATAGCATTTAGAACTTAGCCAGTCTTAGTGGATTATTTCATGATCAGAGGACACTGGACTCCAGCTAGGCAACAATTATCCAGAACGCATTGGTCCTTTCTCTCCAGTCAAGATCTGAATATTAATTTTCCTGACTAAACCACCCATTCTTTGTCGAGTATTCCTCGGAATTTTTTTATGTCTGAATAGTAATCCCCGACTTGATTTGAGGGCTTTTCAATTGAGTGTCGTATATCAAAAACCAAAGCAAGAACAACTACCAATCAGGATCAAAGAAACTATCGCAAAGACGTGCCAAGAGTGCTCGAGGTAAAAACAAGTAAACTGCCGGAAGAGCGGGAAAACACGAGTCACAAAGTCGAGATTGGTGTTAGTTTTGCATCTTGGTTGAGAGAATGGCGCGAGTGATCTTGACCAATCACAGAGCGAAGTAAAGCAAAACCAAAAGTAATCTCGGATGTCTTTCGACTCTCAGTTAAAAATTGCTCTGTAACTCGACCATCATCAGTTATTTGCTAAACCTCTGTGAGGTTAATTTACACAATTATCGGAATAGGAGGTTAGTTGAGCCGTCTTTACGGAAGACCATACGAATTGTTTTGTCAATAATTTTTTGGGACTCACCGAAAATTTCTTAAATCCAAGAAATGGTAGGTTGGAAGTTTGATACATTTACGATCTGTGTACTTCATTATAGTTCTCTAATAACAACAATGCTTCACCATCGTGGAAGTCGGAAATGATCGCTGTAGCGGGGAATGTTTTATAAAACTGAATTCCTAAAATTCGCTTATTGAAAGGTTTTCAGGCTGTGAAGAAAGGTGACATGACGTCAGCTCTGAAACATGAATGATGTCATGGTTAAAGTTCCTTCGTTATCTTATTAAGATAATCATTTTATACAAAGTGTTCAAATGTGTTCAAATAAAAAAGAAAATCATGAAGCAAATAAATATTTCATCAACTAAAGGATTGGATGGGGTTGAAAATGCGAAGGATTAGAAAGACACATCTGTTATTATTATTATTATCATAATTATTTCTATTATCACTATTATTAGTAGTAGTAGTAGTAGTAGTAGTAGTAGTTATGCAATTATTATTCGCTCTGTGTGGACAACCGTTGTTGTTCACTGCAATGATTTGTTCATTTAGGCTATACCATTTCCGATAAAACTTGTCTATTCGTGTTTCGTGTATCTATTAAGTCAAGTCAACAAGGGTCAACAGACAGTTTCTAAATAGTCCAAGCCATTGATCTTTCATTTTACCAGAGATGCATGGTTCATACATCTTTTTTTTTTAATTCACAGTCTCGTACACCTCATGCTCTTCATACCCTTCGCATTAGGTGGATAGCGCAGTAAGTTTTGTTAACACTTATCCGTTGGATAGCGCCTTTTGAACAACTGGGCTCTGAATAATTTACAATGAAAAGACGATGATCGTGTAATATTCTATTCAATAGCGTGTTTTATTTTTTTTCAGAGGGCACGGTAACGAATCCTGCAATCTGATTGGTTCTTTACCTGGTCAGTATTTTCCTATCTCTGCCCACGGGCAACGGTAACACTTTCGTGAGTCGCCGAGTACATCCCTTCATTCGTTGCTATTTTTCATAAACATATCTCGTTTTACCGCCTGGGCAGTATTTTTAAGCAAAGAAGTCGGTCACTACCTCAAGCCGATAAATAACTTATGAATGAATCGTCGATGAGAGTAAATAATACTTTCCGTAAGATCATTGAATGATTTTGAAGAAAACATTGTCGTGACAGTCCTTGCCAAACTAGTTCCGTTGTTTTTCAAATGTTCTTGCGCCTTTTTTTTTCTTACACGCTCTCTAATTGACAGGTGTCAGATTATGACAGATAATTGTAAAAACAATGTTTCAATTAACAATTGGTTCAACGTCAGCGTGCGTTCATCGAGATATGAAGCACGCGGGAAGTTTGGAGAGCACGAAAGATGCGTAAGAGTTGCTCTCTCTACGCCTCGAGCAACTTTTACGCATCTTTCGTGCTCTCCAAACTTCCCGCGTGCTTCATATCTCGATGAACACAGCTGATGTATGAACCAATTGTTTTATAACATTTTCAACCAGATGGAAAATTTTTTTTCGCGAGGGATTTGTTTGCTGACGTCATGAGCGTGCACAGTAGGAATATGAAGCACGCTCGCGCAATTGAATTTGATTAGACAAATTTACTAGCTATGTTATAAAGTTTGTTTGGAAGCCTTTTAAATCACCTTTATCCTTACGCAAATGCAGATGTTTCGGTGAGGCATCTCTCTTTCATTTGCATCACCTCTATTTTAACTACAATTTACTCGCTCAAAAATTGTTCAGTTTATGGAAGATCTTGCCGTATTTACAGCCCTAAATCATTCGGGTTCTTTCGGAATGAATTTCGTCAAGTTTAAAAAAAATAAATATGTCGTTTACCGGCTAAGGGTCGGTCCGTATGGTGAAAAACTGTGACCTCGGCCTTGAAAATGCTGCCCGAGGCCGTAGGCCAAGGGCAGCATTTTCAAGACCTCGGTCACACTTTTTCACCATACGGACTGACCGTCACAGATGACGTCAAAATGTGTGAGAACAAAACAGCGGCAGAGGCGTAGCCGAGGCCCCTCTGAAAATAACAAATTTTAGATCAGAGTTCGGCTTCAAGTAAGCAAAAAAAAGGTTTCTGAGCACGATGAAAGGAAACACCAAGGACAGAACAACGATTGACGAAATAGTTCTTTCAGGGAATTATATTCTACGTTGAGCATATGCGATATTTGATAGGCGACCTCGGATCTTCGGATACTTAGACTGTACACAGCTAAACACAGCTATACACTGCTATACAGGGCTATACACAGCTGTACAGGGCAATACACAGCTATACAGGGCTATACACAGCTATACATTGCTATACATAGCTGTACAAGGCAATACACAGCTAAACAGGGCTATACACAGCTATACAGGGCTATACACAGCTATACCGAGATATACACAGCTATACAGGGTTATACAGAGCTATACAGAGCTATACAGAGCTATACAGGGCTATAAATAGCTATACAGGGCTATACACAGCTATA